AAAAATCGTTTTTCAGTGTTTGGATTCACGTGATGTGTCTGAGACGGAGGGCCATGGCTTAAGTTGTTTTGTTGCTGTGGTGCAGGATCAGCGCTCATGTTTTTTAGCAGCACGACTGCAAATATACATTTTAAGATCTTAAAAAAACTTAATTCCCTTATGTCAAAATTAGAATAGTCTTCACGCACAAACTGGTGCAGCACCTAAGTTCACCTACATAATCTTTAATTTCCACAGACTTGCTACTAAAATGATTTTTACAGAAAGAAGAACAGTACGAGAAAACCGTATGACACTGTGTATTTCAGTACTCACTGTTGATCCAGCCGTACATAAATAATATTGTGATTGCATCAGATAATCCCATACAAACAACTGTCAGATATAACAGTATTTATTCAAAAGGGTCTAAATATCCTCTATGGGTATTATTCAGAGACATAAATATATTATATGTCTGTATGAGACAACGTGTGGAAAACCATCAAAGCACTTTGTTGTGTTGATGCTGAAATCATCTAAAAATTCCACAAAAAGGAGCTCGTCATGCAGGATCAGTGTTGTTTACAGTGCTGCTGTGCACACAGTGATGTTTAAGGGATCCCACAGTTAAAGATGCATGATTCATTTACTGATGTTAACAAACTGATATCATCTTTGCTTCTTTTTGTCCAAAAGTAGTTGATAATTGGAAGCTTTTTCTGGCATCACTCGTTTTTTCCATAGAAATATTGTGATTTTGCACCCCAAAGAGACTAAAGGTAGTTATAAATAAATAAATATTATTTCTTTTAAACAGGATTGCCCCCACCCCTGCTTTGTTTGAACGAAACACTGGTATATGGAGAGTATGAGGATTTAAACAAGCTGAGCTTCACCTTTTTAGTCACACATTTGTAATGTGAGAGGAGTGAATAACATCTGTTTGGCACTACAAACTAGAATAAATCGGACTGCTTTATCTCTTTGCAGAGTCTGGTTCCGGCTCTGGTTCAGAGTCGGAGCAGGAGAGGCCTCGTTCTGTCAGCAACGCTTCAGGCAGCGGCAGTGACAGCGAGAGGGAGCGGGATGATGATGATGACGAGTACGAAGGCCAGGAGGCCGGCAAGCCCAGCATGAATAAGGTGCATTTTGCAGACATCGTTCAGACAGCCGCCTAATCAGTCGTTCAGCTGTGAATTTAGCCACTGAAAATGCTG